ATTTGTTTTGGTGTAAATCGATAAAAAAGCGCAAACATCTACGAGGTCAGTGTTTTCGAATGAGCGCTGAACTTATTCCAAAAATTACTAATCTAAATATTCTCTCTCGAAGCAAAATATTTTCTCTCGATATGCTTACCTAGATACTTAGACGACTCGTTGATTGGCACGGTCGTTGGCCTTGCGCGGGTCCCAATTCCTTCTCCATTGCTCGCAGTCTTGAGCCTTCGTTGTCCAGCGTACGGCCACCTTAAAGAACGAATTCACGATGAAAAAGCAACCCATTTCAAATTGACCTAGGGATGGTGAGTGGTAAACGAAGGAAAGAAGAGCCAGGAGAAACGACCCAGAACCAGAGAAATGGTACCCCTTCCTTGCCCATTGACTCGAGCATTGATGCGACTCTCATCGCTGTGCCCTCTTCAGCACTACGCTCTGTCAGCTATCTAATCACTCGCCACGTATTGAACTACGGCGAGTGATCAGATGACCGGTGGGCGGAGATTGCCGGACCCGCCAGCTTTGAGGCATGATAGGTCGCCGGGGTCATATTTTTTCATGCGAATTGCGCGTCAGTTCGCACCCTCAGGAGGTCCGTGGGTCCCCCAACTAGGTCAGTTTCCCTTTCTTCGACCTTAATTTTAATCGTGAATTCCTCCTTCAAGGGACACAGGATCATGCGCGTTGTTTTTGTATGCCAAATAGTCTACCCAACGTGAAGGAGGGCGGCCAAATGACCGTTTCTTCTCGTGCGGATACCATTGAGCAGTCTTTGAGCTCCAACGTCCATCATTTCTTCTGATCAAATGCCCAGCAAATCGGTGCTTTGCTCCATTGACATGAAGTAGAATGCCCCCAATCTTCGACATAGCTCTGAGGTCAGAATTGTGCAGGTACAGTTCTCGGTTAGGCCGACTAGGCGACGTTCAATTGATGTCTGAGCGGACTGAAGCCGCTTTTCCAGCGATTTTGTTAAGGTCCATGTTTCTCCGGCGTAGTTGAGGGCAGGCAGCACTGAGGAATTGAATAGGTCGGCTCGAAGCGTTTTATCTTTGGTATCCTCTGTAGCAGTTCTTATTAAGTTGAATGCGGCCCATCCAGCCTTGCGACGTCTCATGAACTCTCCGGAAAGATCGTTCTCCATGTTCAGCTGGCTCCCAAAGTATATGTGCTCCTCAACGTCATCGACGGGGCTTCCTTCAAGAAGTACAGGGGCTTTCCCTTGATATATGGCTCCCTATGGGGCAGATGCAGGAGCTTCGGTCGTGAGAACAGCGAATATAGCACGACAAGAGTTTTTCGTCGTTCGTTTCAAAATAGATCACAGAAAACTTTCACAGTGGTTAGAAGACGGGATTCGATAATGGGGGCCCTTTCCTGTCATGGTCCTTTACAAGCTGTCCGAGGTCTCTCAAAACAGTGCGCAGCATTCCTCCTTTCGAACAATCGAGGTATGCACTATATAAGAAACGCGGTGTTCTCATTCCTTTTCCAGTTTTCGGCCCATAACATGCCGAACTACAACAATGTTATAAATAGTAGTCAATGATGCATTCAAAGCATAAAAGAAGTAGATTGAGGCAAATCGTCAACACGACAAGTTTCCCTGGGTTAATTCGGCCCTTGACGTTATCTGGTTTGCACCCACACATGGAACCTGGTCAAGCACTTCTCTCGGCAGGATGAAGTGAATGAACCAAACTGTTTGAATATAAAGGTGAACTTAAGTTGAGACTAAGGAAGTACTGGATAATGAGACCGAGCAGAGGTCGCATCACTTCATTATCACTACAACAATGTCCTAGATTATACAGAAATCATCAGGTCCAGGTTTTTAACTGGCTATATTTTCGCGGGGCGAGATGACTTCAATTATAACCGTCAGACATGCAAGTGGCACAAAACATCAATGCGTTCAGAAACAAATCAAAGAACATTGAGTTACTTGCCTTATTTGGCATCAGCGATTTCAAATAATATGTGCCTGTGAACTTCTTGTGGGTAAAATATTGCTTTAATTGTGTTTTTTTATGTTTTGTTTCCGATTTATAACGATTTGGATTGCTGACCTTATTATCGTACGCACCTACGAGTGCATGAGTAATTAAATAAATAAATAAATAAATAAATTAACAAGGACACGGAGTCACAGACGAATTGCTCTACTCGAACCAACATGCCAATTTTTTGCGTTCAGAAGTACGAACCATTCCTCCAGAGAGGTTTCTAGCCGTAACTCCCACTGGTATGTTGACCATAGCTGGGTTTCTCGAATTTTGCTTGCTAAACTATCAAAGGATAAGGGTGGGGTGGAGTGGTGATGCTGCTTGCCAATCGCACGTACTGGGGATCAAACCCTGCAAGTGCACCGCCCAGGCCAACCAAAACTTCCATTCCCTCAGGGTCGGCGATTGGTACCAGGTTCGTCTCATAGGATGAAAACATGACTCGTACGCGGTTGGCCCCGCAAGCCAGTGCGTAGGCCAAATCGCATCTTCAAATTGCAACTACGATTCCCAATCAAAGTGGAACGCCCGGCGCATTCAAAAGGACTTATCAACGCTAGAAGGTTCGTCCGCCATCCTATTAAAATCCTCAAAAAACCATGTTCTCCATCGTAACAACAGTAGATCTCTGTCTTTGTTCAAAGCAGAAACGTAGGCAGCGACTGGACATTGTTTTAATTTCCTAAGGGCTGTTGAAATTTACCAGGAAAATTTACGAACTTTGGAGCTTTTTAAAAATCTCCAAGCAGCTTTCTAAAGAGGAAGTAGAGAAGAAAATCTCATGCAGCACCGAAGCTGGATTGTCCCCTGCAATGAATTATTAATTGCTCTGCTCAGGTTAGGTCAGGAGAGTCTCGCACCCCTTCGGGATCGTGTAATTGACACAGAACTAGCTGGCGATTAATAAAAAGCCGTGAATCAAAAACTGGCTGCCTCAGCGCTTTTTTTTGCCGCTTTCGTTCCTGTCCACAAGGCTAGGCTGGCGCTGAACTCATGGCGCTTCCCATGAACCGAAGCCACGTTGATAACTTTTATTGCTGTGAAACTGGCATTTAATCGTTAACAAGTTTTCGTGTCATTCCAGTCTCACGTGTTGTTTTCTATTTCTCACGATTTCACGGGGCATAGCTAGCGCAGTGGGAAAAAGCGCCTCCCTTGCATGGTCGATTAACGTTCAAGTTCAAGTTCCTCATCTCTTAGACTACACAAAGAGGCATTAATCAATACATCCAACAGTGTGGAGCGTACTCTTACATAAGATAGCGCTGCCACAGCAAGAAGCGAGCTCTTATACGGCCTAATCCTTCGGAGAAGCAATAGATCAAGGCCGAGAACATCTCTCGGAGCGATCTGATGAACATGAAAGAGAAAAGAAGCGAAAAGTGGGAGATGAATCGGTTAGTTTATCGGCCGTTGCGTTGCGCCATATCTCGAGTCCTCGAAACATTTGATCGCTGGCGCGAAAGAAGCAGAAATCAACGGAAAAAAGGGGTCTCAAACAGCTTTTTCTCGTATTTCAGAATGGTCCATGTTCGTCTTGCAATCTTGGCATGATTCGTTCAGGAATGATTCTTCAAGCCTTTCAAGATTGAATCTTTTATACAAGGCTTACGTTTCGGCTTCTTCGCCTTCGTCAGAGCCTTGAACTCCGCCACTAAGACAGGAGGACGATCACCATCTTAAAAGGCTTGAAGAATCATTCTTACTGAACTCTCGTATTTCACCTAATATGCACTAGCGGTCAAAAGCTTGCCGAAGCAATTTTTAGTGCATTACCTTTTTCTCGCTTGAGCACGCTCTGCAAACAGTGATATACTGTATTTTCTTGTGTTTTTATATCCTCAAGCCTCAAAGAATCAGGATAATTGAAAGAAAAAATTTTGAGGCCAGGGATTTTTTTCTGGCACAGCAAGAGAAGCACGAAAAATTATTTCGGCGAACGCTTTCGACCACTACTGTAGGCCCTCTATCACCTCTACTTCCAGCTTCCAGCTTCCAGCTCCAACTTGCAGCGACTTTTTGGTACCATCCGCTTTGATGACCAAAGAATCCGCGAAGATACTTCAAATTCGTGCTCTGATCATCACGAGGAAAGCTATTGGCACCTGCTCACATCGGAAGACATGAGGATCTTGTCAATCCGAAGAATATTCATTCTATTGAATTTATGGGTCCCACGCTGCATTCCCAACCACTGCGCCCTCTGGCGGGGGTTCTGCGCGCCACTTCCGGTGACGTCCTAGCACTTACACTGATTCTTTTGCGACTTTTGAACACGGTTGGTGTGACGAGGGTCTTCATCAGCCGGCCTGCCAACCTGAGCTTGACGCTGGTGCTAGAACCCTTTTTGCAATTTTTGCAAGGCATGGTTAACCTTGGCAGGGATCGAACTCGCAATTTTCAGAGGTGCAGAGATGATAACTTCTTAGCCAATCGGCTGTCCCTGCCTTTCACTGTGCCCTACGTATCTGAGGAGGTTTACTAGAAAGAGTTGTTCATTTTTTGGTTAGATTATGTATTACTTAGGTGTCGAAGGAATAGAACTCACAGGAGAACTTCTTTTGGCTGATGAATCAACGTAGGCTTTTAGTATGCATTATTTTTCTTTGATTGCTCTCTCTCTTTCTCTTCGACTGCTCTCTATGGTGTAGCGTGCACGGCGTAAACCAAGGCATTCCATCATTAAGTCTATTTTCCTTCAAGCATCTCGAATCGTCTCGTCGATTTGCTGCAGCGATCTCGCTTGGGCCGTTCGCTCATCCCACCCCTTTCCTGTTCTTTATTAAATGTCAGCCTTTTTATTAGTCCTCAATTCCCTTGATACTCAAAATGTTGTTCCTATAAGGTCGTGTTGTCGTTTTGGATGTTTTTCTTGAAGCTTGCCCACCTTTCCCCCGGTTGTGGGCGGAATAGGGCGGGAAGGGGGCGGTCGTGGGGAGCTGGCCCTGACACTTCCACCACCTGACCGCACTCGCAAATTTCCACTGAAGGACGATGTGGATCGTGTCGCCGTGGCTTCTTCTCGTCATTTCCCCAATTCTCATCAACGCTAAGTCACTGAGCGGAATTGAACTCAAGGTATTCGTTCATTTGTATGTGTTTATGTGTGACCTTGCCACACGCACCGCTCATTTAATTTCGATGGCCATGCCGTGCAGACTAGATCGTCATCGTAATCCGCACTTTCTCGTTACCATTGAAATCATAAAATCGCTGCCGGTTTGCAGCGAATTCCACCCATTAATCCGTCCATTTCACGACCGATTACTGTGAAATTTTCCGTTCAGGACCAATCATGTTCCTATGCAAACGAGGTCATACGTATGGCATGGCAGTACGACGATGCCAGTACCGAGATCGTCTTCAAGATGACCGCCAAGTCGAAAGGCGTTAAGAACTTCTGGGCAGGGGTATTTATAGGAGAGGAAGACCCGGTAGGAAGTTGTTAGAAAAACGATGTGACACTAAGTTAAGATAGTTGCTTTTCAGGTTGATTCGATTGGAGCCTCTGTAAGGAATGGCCAGATTGGTGTCATGGACGGACATGTGGCCGAAGGCGGCCGAGTTGAGCTGGACAACGTCACCAATGTGCAGTCACTGCTGTTTGATCTGCAGAACGACGTACTGACGGCAGAATTCGCCCGACCGTCTTACACGAACGATCACTTCGACGCAGACCTGTCGAACTGTGTTGTACGTGGTTTTTAAGTTGCTATAATCTCATTGTATTGTGGAAAAGCTGCTTAGCGGGTCGATGGAGAGTGGTCCTGAAAGGAAATCACGTTTGCCAAAGCCTGCTTTTTTCGAGGGGTGACTGCAAGCGTGAACTTTCTGACCCGAGAAACTCTTGGGTTAAGGGGGGCAGGTCGCTGTGATGTTCCATAGAAAATTCCCTAAATCTCACTCGTACTTCAGGACGGGATGGTTGGAGTTCCTAAGAACGGTATGGCGCTCGCAGGGCACACGGTGACTGATACAGTAGTTTTTGGGAACACTTTAACCAAAAAATAGGGATGGTTTTCGATGAGCGAATCGATTTCCTGTTTAGTATTTTATTCTTTTTATTACTAAAAGCAACTGTCAGCTGAGAGCCAGTTATCCTGATCCAGCTATGGTTTTCTTCATGTGAACATGGATAACTGGTTTCTTAGTCGAGATTTATTAGCCCCCATGTCGTTGCCTGCCGTCCCAATCTCTGTCTGGCTATGGCCAGCCGCCACACCTTGTTTGATAGATGACAGATCGACTCTGGACCAGAAATCACCGGCGGATTGGTCTTTCATAATTGCCAATCGAGTTGGGTAGTTAGATAGTTGGCGTCGTCCATAATACTGTAAAATAATTGTGAAATAATTGTGAAATAATTGTTTTCAATCAAATTCGTTGAAATGCGTCACCCATGAAATGGAAAGTAGACATCTGAATATGCGGTAAGGCCACAGAATAGCTCACGCGGTATAGGGAATGTCATAGGTTTTGACGAGTCTCACCTTTCTATCTATTGTCGAAACGACAACGACCTCGAGTCAAAATTGAACTATAAAAACTCGGCAGGTTCTACAATCCCATAGCACTCGAAAGTGAAGAAAAGAAACCAGAAAGAGAACTTTTTCATAGTAGGTTTTTTCTTCGAAATAGCCTCATGAAATTAATCTTCTCGAAGTTGGTGTGGAATTCGTGAAGGTTTCAGCTTAGCCCTGACCAAAAACTCGATGATGGCTGGAGATTTCACCTGTCACTAGTTCTGATATTTTCCGACACTTTAGTTTGAGTGGGAATAGTGCAGGGGCTGAAAGTCCCAACCGCGCGAATACGTTCAAAGGATCGAGTGCTCCTCTGGATAGAAGTTGTTTACAAAAAGCTTCTGTGTTCAGATGGCCTATTTAAGCAGTACCATGATGACATTGGAGCGTGTGGACGCTTTCCACTGGGGAATGCTACCTTGATATTGGCTGACGCCTCCAGGAGTGATCGATCTTATCGAACTGAGCACTGTCGACACTTCTAGCCATTGCGCTATCCCTGCTTTCACAAGAGCGTCGAAAAGTATAGAAATCAGCGACCAAAGGAAGGCTCCTAAAATATTACCTGTGGTATTCCAGAAAAATCTTTCTCAGTAGGGGTTGGGGTAGCGTCAGTTTTGTGGACCTCATTCAAGAAATCTGCGCTAAACATCTTCTGTTTCCTTTGCTGACCCTGTTCAGCAGGGTGCGTTGCCAGGCCAGATAAGTGCTTGAGACTGACACTGCTTGAGCTCGGGTACATGGCGCCTTCCAAAAGGACTGACCAATAGTAACAGCTTTATCCTGTGACCATTTTCATTCGTATTATTTTTTTACATTCATCAAATTTTCCATTTTCCTTCACTATCAAAGTCAACGCTATGCCCGTTATATTTGTGTTTTGCGGGGTTCTCGTTTGACGGGGTCTACCAGCGATATCTCCTCATCTTTAGAACCCTCTGGGGTTCCACGTTGTCGTTGTGTTCCCTCTGTATCACGAAACCAGTCATGAGGGCATACCTGTAGGTGTGAGACAATAAGCCGTTATTGTGTCGTAAAGAGGCAAGCGAATGCCATTGTCTGACCTCATTCTTCACCTCCGTGATTAAGCACATGCCAAAGAAGCCTGACCGTTAGAGGAGAGCAGAAGTAGTTCCACTCGGGTGCGGGGAAGCAAACTGGAGGTGTGATTAATCCCTCTAGTCTCACTCCGTGTCATTAGCGACATGCGCACGACCGGTTATTTATGTGATCAGGGCTGCTAAACATCGTATAGACACATAATCAAACATGATCGGATAACGATGGAAAGTCGATTGACAGCTTTCAGACGTTCTTTTTCCCCACGGAAGTCGTTAGAATCGATGGAAATGGCAAGTTGTTGGTTCCGAAACGTATGGAAACCCGACGGATATGTGACATCCCGGTGACATGCAGCAATAGGGACCACTCATCAGGCTAGTTTTCCACCACAGATTTCCTCAAAATGTTTTCAAAAACACTCAAAAATGAAGTTAAGGGTAAGGTACGGCACTTGAGACGTGTCGAATTAACCATAATGTGTACTATCCTGTTGTTATCATACTTGAGTGTTAACTATGACAAACGAGGAAAGTGCAAAAAAGCCTGTACCTCAACTCCAATTATCAGAGGACCTGCCAAAGGTCACTGAAGGAATTGTTAAGTTAAGGAAACCTGTCGAAATTTGGAAACCGGTCTGATTAAAATTACTGAAATGGCAATCGAAAATATTCTTTGTGCCCAAATTTGGTCTTGTTGTGGTGACTCAGGGAATCGGAGGAACCTCGCAAGTGTTTGGGTAAAATATTTCCGGGTTTTCTGGACAGACTTACTCTGAGAAAAGATGGCGTGGTGCTACAATAGTAGCAAAAGTGGTCGAATCTGGCTCTTCTTTTCCAGAAAATTCTCTAAAGAAAAATATAGAGGAATAAGTTCGTATAAATAATTTGTTATTTTTCATAAATAATTTAATAATTTGTTCCCTTCTATTTTGAGAGATAGATGGGCGCAAAGCCTATTTGTTCTCGTGCGAGTGTGGGGGTTGTTGCACTCTACAGCGGAAGTTCGAAAGTTGGAATCCGTCCTGACCGCTCAATCCAAGCGACCTGCGTTTACGGGGTTGCTATGTTCCTCACAAGTAGGAAAACTTTGTGCAAAAATGTGCTAGCATTAGAAAGTCATTCTGTAAGGAGATAGACATTTAGGTGCTGCTACGATCCTCAGTGAGAGTTGTGTGCGTGGCGCGTCCCATTGCGGCATCAGTGAAGGCGGTTCGCACAATGCTTTGCTTCTTTCTGCAGTGCGTTACTGTAGTAATGAGGCGCTTGTCTTGGCTCGTAGGAATTAATTTGTACAATCTCGCAAAAGATTTCCCTCCAGTTCCAGTGAAGATTGTACTCAGAATGTCAAATGGATCGCAACCAATTGATCGATTGCCTAATTTTGTGTGAATTTCGAATGCAGGGCCCATTCCTAGTAAATAGCACACCTAATGAGAACAGAGCACCGAGCCTTTTTGAAGCATCCCACATTTTTGACCCTGTATTGGTTCAGAAACGGAGATGCTCATCGGGCGGATACGACAAGTGTTTGTCCTCTCAACAAGGGACCATTTTGTGTTGTTTCGTCAGTGTGCTGAGTGAAGCCAACTCCTATTTAGGTGTCCTCCTCTTTCTCAGTCAGGGGAACGGGGAACATCGAAAGAGGCGCCGGCAATTTACAAATCATCTCCTTGACTGACACTCAACGGAGCACTTCTGGTTTGTGTTCAAGGCGCTTTCCGACCACTTTTTGCGTAATAACTCAGCTTCCTCGCGTGACGAGGCGATGCTTCTTGAGGCGGCACCAATCGAGCAAAGATCAGTGGTACACAGGTATTCTGTGCTTGAGAGACACTCATCAGTGGTCATTTTAGACAGCGCAAAATCGCCACTTTAAGCCTAGCATTGAGAAAACGATATTAAAGCATACCCCTGGCTACTCCCCTGATTAGCATATCGACGACAGCTCGCTGTGCACAATCCTCGTCATCTTTTTCTGATTTTTTTTACCGTCATTAACCCTTCGGTAATGTTCCTACTGGTAATGATGTACTATTTTCTGATGCGTTATGTACAATGGGGGGGGGGGTGAAGGGGAGCGGGGGAAAATCATTTTGCCCATGTCGCACTTCTGAAAGTTTTTTATCGCAGAGATATTCGTTGTAAACGGAATTTCTTGGAAAAAATTCCTCAAATGTCTATTAGTAGACGCTGGCCCTCTTTTACTGTCCTTACCGTCTCCAGAATATGATGTCAGCCGCCTTCGCCGTTGAGTTCAAGGTGGCCTACCGTAACTGCTCCCGTCTGAAGCTTTTATGTAATTTCTCGAACCGATTCATTGTTAGATGTGTCAGTGTAGTAAATAAGCTCCCTCCTAGATTGATAATAACGTTTATGCGGCTTATGTTTCCGCGCTTTTGCCTTCTTCAGAGTCTGGAAAGAGGAAAGCCATTCACGAAGCACCCGTACAAATACTTTTCCAATCTACACGAATCACTCAGCAGGCGTAAACTACTAGGGCGACGTCACGGGACGGAAAGAAAGGCAACTAACTTTCAGAAAAGTCGACCAATGAGGTGCACCTGCCCCCCCCCCCCGAGCTGACAGTAACGCGTCTTGAACAAGTAAGGCTCCAAGGTCACTTGCTTAAGGACCCTCCTGAGGGTTGATCATGCAGATCAAAACAACCCAAGGTCTGCTCCTCTAGAGGCCAGGCGCGCCGCTGACCCTGTTGGATAGTTTCCTAGTGAAATTATTTAGCTTAACTAGGCGAACTCTCAAAGCCCGCTCTCCAAAAAACGTGCTTTGCAATTCGTCGAGGACCCCATGGAGCTGGACCAGTGCACCATGTTTCTGGCGAAGATTTTTCTGTGCCGTCCAGGCCCCTATAAAGATTTTGAATTCAAATTTAGCAAAGTGTGATGAAACCCATTTGAATGTGGAGACAAAATGTCTTTTTTCGCCCCCTCCCCCCTATAGACAGAAGTCTTTGGAACATGAAATACGCGAAATAAATTAAGCAATACGAATCTTATGAGTGAAATAATCTGACGCGCATATGCGTCACACTATCGTTAATGGGTTAATCTCTGTCTGATATTATTTTCGGTTTGTTTTGTTTCAAGGTTCCTGTGAGCGCGAACAATTCTAGAAAATAGTGATGTTTCATTAATGATGGCTCATTTGTTCTGTGCAGATTACCGATTGTGACAAAAAAGCAAAAGTGAAGGCGAAATAAGCCAAATGGTGCTGAAATATGCGGTTTTCTTTGCGCCGCTTGGGTCTAGACTTGAACGAGTAGGGTCTAATACAAATGAGTATTACTTGTTTTTTTTACTCTGTAGCCATGCAAAGCATGAGCAGCCCACTATTTCTTTTTCTCCTCTTTCATCTCCCTCCCCCCTCAATCACATCATCACAGTGTGGTGGTTCATTTTCAACTTTTTTGAATCGCTCATCTTGAAAGAAACTACCCGGAAGAATGCGGAAGAGAGGGCTTTTTTGGTAAACAAGTAAACAAGCGAGTCACTCAAACATAGCTAAGATATCTGCAGATTGGCAAAAAAAAATCAAAAAGGTTATTACTCAAATTCAATTACAAAAATATTTTGCAATCATCAGTGGAGTTCGCAAGGAATTCTGTGTATTCTCACTGTCAGAGGTTTTCACGTATTTCTAGAATCTTTACACTTAGGAAAAAGGGAGAAAAAAGGTAGGAACGATGCGGGAATAGAGGTAAAAAATGAAAGGGATAAATAGAGGTAAAAAAATGGAAGATATTCGAAGTTGATACGTACAAGAATTCCTTGCGGATTCCCCTAATAACTGCAAAATGTGTTGGAGTAATAATGTTCCTGATCACTTTTTTGCCAATATGTAAATAGCTCAATTATTTGCTTGTCTTTGTGATGCACCATGCCTTCGACTTTCACTTGGAATCGTGATCGGTATCCCAATGTAGGATAAGTTGCGGGACCCTGCCGTGTACTGTTTTGGTTTCACTGGGTAGGATTGCCAGATGGGATGGACATGGAATGAGGAAGGTTCACTTTGCCAGGTAAAATTCAACACAGGAGTTGATCTACGGACATGCATGTGCTAGCGGCACCACTCAGCCGTTGCACTAATTAAACCTCAATAACACGGCATGAAAAAGTTGTTAATGGAAATTGTACTGGTAAAGTACAGCTATGAGCGTCCCGTGAACCTTGTACGGGTCGTACGTTCGAATTACGGCATCCAAGCCATCCAGGCAGCTATTCACATATTTGCATAACTCTCTGGATTAAGAAATAGTAGGCAATCTCACCCCTACTGCACTTTTGACTCTTTCTCTCGAACAAAAATCGATTTTTCGTTCTTATGGAATCGAGCGTATAATTCCATGTGCTCCTTAGCTCCAATGCCAAAAAAGCGTCATTAGAATTATACAAAAGCGAGGTGATTTTGACCTCCTCAACCGAATGATTTCTTCTTGAGTGATGCACGGAGGGTGATGTTTTTTTTGAAAGAAAATGGGTTTAGGCCTGAACCTAGCAGGTGTTTCCTTCAACCGTAGGAGCTCACAGAATCGACGAATCGATAGATTCGTCCGAAGAAAATCGTTACCCATGCGTGCAATCACTTTTTACAGAGAAGATCATTTCTCTTCAAGCAGAATGACAGTTTTACGCGTTCGGCCAGCACATTACGTCGTCACGAGAGCTGTCTAGGTCACCGTGAGGGTGAGGGCCAGGAAACGAACTCCGTCGAGAGAACTGTGCTAAATATGCTCGTTCAATTGCTACGGTGATGGGAAACTAGGTTCACGGGGTGCGCGTTCCACTATAGGTTGAGAAAAACGGACTGACCTGATCTTATTATGTGGTAGTAGAGATGACGCAACGGTTGACTGAGACGGCGTGCCTTATTAGGGGATCCAAATTTCCAGCCCAAAATTCTTTTCTTCCTTTTATGGTCATGAACTTCAGCAGACAGCAATTTGATTGCAATGAAACATTGAACTCAAGATACCTGAAGGGGGAGGGGGGAGGGGAGAGAAGAGCAAAAAAGTGATTCGACTCCCGTTTTGCACCTGCCCGTAAACGAAAGCCAAACTGCAAGAATTATTCTTCCTCAATGTTTTGCTTATCCTCCCTTACCCACCACTTCCCTCAGAGTACTTTAAATCGCTTTCCTTAGTAGTCGGCCGGCTGGTGGAAATGGCTCAAATCATCGAAGCAGTCCTTCGCAAAATCTACCTGATTGACCTAAATTTCTTTTTTTGTTTTTTATTGTAGCCTCTATTGGAGCTACATCTGTGCTGGGGGATCGCTCAATAGCTCTCTTCGTGAACCATGTCTAGCGTCTTACCGCGCGCAAACGACCGTTGGTGAAGTTTGGTAAAGTGTTAAAGCAGTGT